ATCCATCCATCCATCATCCATCCATCCATCCATCCATCCATCCATCCATCCATCCATCCATCCATCCATCCATCCATCCATCCATCCAGTTTTATTCATAGTTGTTAGTCCTTAATGCATCGTTAGCTAGCTGGGAGTTAGTTATTTTGTCCGCTAAGTCTGTCAGTGGATGATTCCCTTTTCTCTTCCCCAATGTGTCCATCTGGTCTGATCTGCCAATGTTTAAGCCCTGTTTTTGTTGTGTATTTGCTTTGTTTAGGGATTAGTCTGAGGTTGGATTGTGATAAATCTGTATCATTGTTTTCCTTGGAGTTAAGTCTTTTCAAATGATCTATTTTTGGGGTATGTATAGTTTGTATAATTTCTATAGTTTAAATAAACTGGTAAATGTAGTTGTACCATTTTGCTCTGTCTGTATGGGAGCATTAACACTGTCTCCTTTGGTCCTTCACATCTTCCATTGTTAAAACAAAGATTAGTTGTTATGCATAAACAGAAGGGAGTTTGCTTAGATAATCTGATATAGCTGTGAGTCTAAGACAATTATCTGTACCTCAGTGTCCAGTTTGGTCGTGTTTTGATATGTCCTGTTAATTTTAGCACATTGAACCAAATATTTCTTTGCTTCCTCTGTTCTACCATTAGCCAACAACCAGCGAGCAGACTCTGGCAGCCACCTGAGGGGACAAAGATCGTTGTTTGTTTTCATATAGAAACTCATATTTTAACCATTATGGAGGAGTACAGAATGTATAAAAACATACCAACAACAGACGATGGCTACACCGCAAGGCACAGTCACAGCCAGTGTGAGGTGCCTCCAGTCTCGTATGAAGTAGGCCATTAGGGCCAGGAGCATGTTTCCCACGCTCCACGACAGGCTCATGATGGTACCGGTAAAGGTGCGGTGCTTTATATCTATCCACTCGATACCTTAGATGATAGATAAATAGTTATTCATTTCAGAGACAAAACATGTTTCTTAATGACTATTAAATAAGACCACAAACAATAAAATAAGTGTAATATTTGAGTAAAAATGTTGCTGCTAGTATATTTACAGAGATCTACATGCCTCCCAAGTTTGATTCTCAACCACAGGGGAGGAAACAGAAGGTCATCATCAGTGAGGATGAACAGGGAACAAAACTCAACTATATTTTGGACAAAACAGGACTTAGAAATGCCTTTACAATTTCAGTTAAACATATAGTCTTTGGGTCTTAGCTTAAACATAAGATTAAATAAAATCTCAATCTGAAAGGTTGAGAAGTTTGTTTAAGGGAACTCATTCATCCATGCCTTAATAAAGCGCATTGCTGCAAAGGTCCAACAATGTCTGGCATATAAAACATGCTTCTATAGTGAACCATTTAGATTAGGGTTAGGGCCAAACTAGCATTGCAGGTTTATATCAATCAGTCAGATTAGGGTTAGGGCCAAACTAGCATTGCAGGTTTATATCAATCAGTCAGATTAGGGTTAGGGCCAAACTAGCATTGCAGGTTTATATCAATCAGT